TGAAAAATTTTTTTTTCCTCAAAATATCGAAATATATTCCAAAAAACGTGAAAAATACATGCAAATTTTAAATCCCTGTAATTTTTCAAAAACTGTATCATTGTATTGTTCATCATTTACTTAGGGGGTATCAGACGAATCAGTTAATTAATCTCTTAATCTCCCACATATGTATCTCGTTAGTAGCGACTCAAGACAAAACTATTTACTGTTTGTTTCCCTACTGACCGTCATAATATCAACTGAACCGTTCAGTGTCGTATTCTATTAACCAGACGTATGTGGCCGACGCGGGGATTTTCCTATCCCTATTTTCTTAACGCAATAGCCGCAACTTCGTGGAAACGTTGTTTGTACACAGCGAGAGCGATCAAAATGAAATTCGCAATGGACAATAGATCGGAGAGGAACGGTGAATATCGAGGCGCATAATCGGACGGAGACATAATCGTTGGAAGATAGTGGAGAGTAAATAGGGTCAGGAACTAGACTTTGGCTCGAGTTAAGGCAGGTCTCGGTATGCGAGGCAAAATACATGTGTATATATATTGTCTGAGATCGATATAGACACTCTTGTTTGCATCTACGCCCAACGTTTCTAAAATCAGTGCATCGTTCATTGCTCGACAAAAATTCATTATACAAATTTCAGACAATATTTATGATTCTATGAATCCTTACATAAAAACAATGACAAATCATTGAAATTTTAATAATTACTAGATATTAAATTAATAAAACACTGTACAAAATTTTAGAAATTTTCCAAGTCTATTAAGAAAATGACAGAATTTTATAATTATGTATAATTATTAATACATAACTTAAGAATATTTCAACCTTGAAATAATATCAATTTCTAGGACATTATTTAAGATATAGAATAAAAAGTATGCAAATGTAAGAATTATAGGACATATAGATTTGCAAGTCACGTACAGTCCAATTAAAAAATGCAAAAACTATTTATTAGAATATAATCTAAAATTCCTTACAACGAATTTTATAAACCTTCAGCTTTTTATTACACGTTCTAAACTTTTGGCAGAGATCTTAAGAGGCTCGTACAATTTTAATAGTCTGTGCTATGATCGATACGTTTCGTATGATGATCAATGGGGCTTTAAAAACACGAACACAATTTTTGATTCTCGCTGTAGCATATTTACAAAAGAAACCTCCGACTAATTTTGCTGACACGCCATGACAAGCAGAACTGACCCTCGTGACGTAATCGCTCGCAGCCGATTCACTAGCAACTTGCCAGCAGCTCGCGAGTATAAGTACTTACAATGAGAATCAAAACCGAATGTATATCGCGTTTGTTATTCAAAAGACTGACTTCGCTGTAGAAACTATAAGACAGAATCGGAAATTAATCAAATTCGTTTGCTTCAACCCTTCAGGAGTCATTTCAGAAAATGAGCAATTCCTGAGA